AGTTTGACGGAATGCTTAGGCATGCTTTGTTCCACACGCTGCGGTGATTCTCGGGAAACCCAAGGCTTCTAGGCTCATCTCCCACCAGTGTTCCATAGTGGAGCCAGAAGGCAGGAGGGAGCCCCTTCTTGGTCCTTGGGTCTCTTTGAATGACTGGGCAGCAGTGCTTTGAAATCCATGGATCTTGTCATGATTTTTCTAGAGCTGGCCAGCAGATGTCACTTCTAACTCAAAGCCAAACATTGGGAAATGACATTCTCCTGTAGCACCCACAAACTCTACAGCTTCTCCTCTCACCAAGCTTAGGAGAGAAGAGCAACTCAAAGGCCACCTTCCCAGGGTAGGATGCCTCGTGTGAGAAGCTAGTCTCCCTTTGTAAATGCAGCTCAGAGTGAAAAGGTGCCTATCTTTGCTCTCGGGATCTCTTGGACAAGGTGCCATAGACTGAGTGACTAAGAACGATGGAAATATACCATCTCACTCTTCTAGATCAAGATGTTATCAGCATCAGGCTCCCTGTGGACACTGTGATATATGTGTTCTGAAGGCCACATGCATCCCAGGATAGCTATGAGTTTGGCCCAATGTATTTATAGCCAACAATGCCATGTTGCAATTTTCAAAAGTTGGACACTTTGCTAGAAGGCCCCTTTCTATCCCTCTTTATGGCTTCTGATGTTTTCCTGCTGATCTTGGCGTTTCTTGACTAGTAGATACATTATCTCCATCTTTCCCTTTCCATGTGTCCTACGTGTCTTCCCGTAATCTTCCTTCCCTGCTTGTCTCTGTGTCCAAATCCCCACTTTTAAAAGAGAACCTGCCACAGTGGCTTAGGTTTTACCCTTATGATATTTTTACTTCATTCCATTCCATTTTTCCCCTGTGGTTTTTCAAGACAGGTTTTCTCTGTGAAACAGCCTTGGCTGTCATGGAATTCCCTTTGTAGACCAGGCTGGCTTGAGATTCAGAGATTTGCCTGCCTTTGCCTCCCGAGTCCTGGGATTAAAGGCATGTGTCACCACTGCCTGGCTAAGATTTTATTTTTATTAAAATTATTTATTTGAAGGGCCTTTTATCCCAGTGCTGGGAAGGCAAAACAGGTGGATATCTGTGAATATAAGTCCAACCTGCTCCACATGCTAAGTTCTAGGCCAGATAGGACTATACAGTGAGACTTTGTCTGAAAGACAAAGCAAAATTATTCCGTTTGTACATTCGGTACATGCGGGGGGCATCCTGACCAGCAGGAATGAACGCCACCAAAAACGAGAATTCCTTCCCTGGTCACGTCTTTATTTGGAGCATTCCCTTGAGGAAAATTGGGGGAAGGGAAGATAGAGCAGGGACGAGAGAAAGCTTAGAGAGAGAGCGTTGAGCCCAGAGGCAGCTGCTTTTAAGCGATGGAGAGGCTTGAACGCTGTCCTGATTGGTCAATGCCATTCTGCTGTTCTGAGCATGTGCAAGCAAGGGTGCAGGCAAGGGTGCTCAGCCCCACATGGCTGAGCCAGGTATGGACTTGTATACCTCCAAACTGCAGGACCACCTGTGCCTCCAGGTGGCTCCCAACATCTCCCTCTTCTCTTGTTAATAAGAGCAATAAGGCAAAACTATTTTCCAATCTGGTCCCCACCTCACTTGGGCTAGCAGGTAGCACACCAATCAAAGACATACAGCACTTCCACCTAGACACAGCATGCCAAGGATATCTCTGCTCCCACCCATTCCTAAGGAAGGAAAAGGCAAAATAGAGTCAGTCAGAAAATTGTTAAGAGATAAGAGGTTGCACAAGGTGTTGCTCAAGTCGATGGTGTGAAACAGCTGCTCTTGGCACCGCTCAGAAGGTCATCTCTGCTGCCTCCACATGAATCTTCCACAGCAGGACACTCAGCATCCACTGGGTCATCTCTCTTCTTTATTTCTCTTGTCAGTCTTGCTGGCATCCAGATGTATGTCAGCATTCCTAGAAAAACATAAACAAAACTCTCCTCCCAAATTAACATTTAAGAGTACTAAAAACTCTCAGTGTAAAAATTCAGCACAATCAGTACTGGAAGTAGGCTGGTTTTGAACTTAGAGACTTGCATGTCTCCGTTTCAAAGAGAAAATCTTGTTTGCCTGTACCAGCAAAATTTTGAATTAAAAATTAAGTGTAAAGAATGCAAGAGAAATCCTTTCTCTGGGGGAAGCTGTCACTGGTAGTCCCCCTCTATTGTTTAACACCAAAACAGTTGTCACTGGGAATTGAACTCATGACCTTTAGAAGAGCAGGCAGTGCTCTTAACCTCTGAGCCATCTCTCCAGCTCCGCCATCTCTCCAGCCCCCCTATTCAGATGGAAAAACCTCTAGGTAGCATTGTTTTATTCCACCCGTTGCCTCAGGCAAAAGGTAATGGTAACCAGGTTGACGCGCCTTTATTATGATAATTAGGACCAGTTCTTTGAGGGAGAATGGGCGTAGACCATCAATCTGACTACTTCCTGCTGACAAAGGGACGTTGTTTGGGAGATAAATGTTTTTATCTGACTAAATTTTTGGCGACAAATGTTTTTATCTGACTGAATTCTTGGCGGCTGTGGCTGTGAGCGGCGGGGGCAGCAGCAGACAGCGGCGGTTGCCCCGCCTCTGAGGCCCATTGTGGCGCGCTCCGCATGGCCTGAAGGCATGGCCCCGCCCCCGGGCCGTGCACGGGCTCTCCGGTTTATCCTGTATCTGCAAACTGTGCACCCTGCCTCGCCTCAGGCAATGAACTCGCACCGCAGGCCGTGAGTCTTTTCCAAGCTCCGGCGAGGGGGGGCATCCGCCCACCCGTGGAGGGCCCGGTTAGGGCCGCGGGGGCCCCAGTCTCAGGCCTTTCCAGGGGCCGGGGAGTGACGAGCACTTAGTACGTGGCCCCGCCAGTGAGCTTCCTCCGCCCGCCCATGTTGCTATGGAAACGCGGTTTTTCGCAGAGCCTGTGCTGGGATTAAAGGCGTGCGCCACCACCGCCGGCTACTTCCTCAATCAAAGTTAAAGTTTTCTGTACGTGAGAGCCAGAGACTGAGCTCTCTTATCAAAATTAGGCGAAAATCACCTCAAAAACTGTGTGGCTCTTTAAGAACAGGGAAGGCAGTCTTCAAGCATGATCAAACTCGCCTCCCTATGAGACTGTTGCCTCCAGTCTCTAACAGCGAGTACGCAGGTGGACGGAGAGGGAGCGGAAGCCGCGGTCTCCTCATAGTCCCACCTTAGTTACCTCACCTTTTTTGCTGCTGTTCACACTCCTCCTGCACTGAACTTAAGGAATTTTTCTTCCCCGTTGCTTTCTGTACCTTCTTTCAGATACCTTAACTTTGATTTTTTTTGTATTTTCTTTTCTTTTTAGGCCTATACTTTTTTTTTTATTCTTTTTTCCTCCTCCTTTCTGGAGGATTAACTGACGTCACTCACCGCTCCACGTTTTCAGAGTTCTGAAATTCACGGCTCTCTGTGTCCTGGTGTCTGATTTTGGCTTTTTCTCCCGGGCTTTCAGCATGTTGCTGGGCGCTTCCTTCTCAGGGTCCCCCGGCGTAGTTGTCAGGGTCCCTTGGCGTCCCGGGGTTTCGAGCACCAGTTGCGGGGGGCCATCCTGACCAGCAGGAATGAACGCCACCAAAAACGAGAATTCCTTCCCTGGTCACGTCTTTATTTGGAGCATTCCCTTGAGGAAAATTGGGGGAAGGGAAGATAGAGCAGGGACGAGAGAAAGCTTAGAGAGAGAGCGTTGAGCCCAGAGGCAGCTGCTTTTAAGCGGTGGAGAGGCTTGAACGCTGTCCTGATTGGTCAATGCCATTCTGCTGTTCTGAGCATGTGCAAGCAAGGGTGCAGGCAAGGGTGCTCAGCCCCACATGGCTGAGCCAGGTATACCTCCAAACTGCAGGACCACCTGTGCCTCCAGGTGGCTCCCAACAGGTACACATGTGGAGGACAGAAGACAACTTGTAGGAGTTCTTTCATTCTACCATGTGGGTTCCAAGGATCAAACTCAGGTAGTCAAACTCAGCATTAGGTACCTTGATCTGCTGAGCCATCTTGCTGGCCCCAGACTTTATTTCTAATTAAGGCCATATTCTGAGATACCAGGTGCTAAAACAACATCTGCTTTCCTTTTATTGAGGGACACAAGCCTATAACAGTCTCTTCCAGAAAGTGTTAAGAGACTTTTTTTTGGGGTGGGGAGCGGGGGCTTAAAATACTATAAATGGGCTCTGGTTACCAGTATTGGGAAATAGGAAACATTCCTTCTGGCTTTCTGAATCACCATGGTTACAATAATGAGAACTAATGGTTGCTACTGTCAGCCTGTTGAAGGAGCGCTATGAATTAGCTATGCGCTCTTCTAAGCTGTTTTAGTGACATCATGTAACTCTCCCTGCTACTCTGTGGGCTAGGGACCACTCTGCCCCATAGGCAAGCCAGCAGATCATAGACAAGCTAGAGTCTTGCTTTCTGCTACAGCAACACTATGCCTCTTCCAAGGCTAGAATTTTCTTCTCTGCAGTGAAGGGATCTCACTGTTTTCCATCGACTGAGATAAAAATGAGAGTCACCTCTACTTCCCTTCATGATCCAAATCTTAGGGGTATAAGAGGTTGGTAATCTACAGTGGCTGTGTTGGTTTGAATAAGAAGGGCCTCCATAGGTTCATATATTGAATGCTTAGGGAGTGGTACTATTTGAACGGATCAGGAAGTACATATAGTCTTGTTGGAGAAGTGAGTCACTGGGGGTGCACTTTGAGCTTTCAAAAACCCAAGCCAGGCCCAATGGATCTCTCTCCCTGCTGCTCAGGATCTGGATATAGCTCCTTCTCCAGCACCATGTCTGCCTGCATCCTGCAGCATGCTATCATGCTGACAATGTACTAAAACTCTGAAACTGTAAGCCAGCCCCAGTCAAATGCTTTCTTTTGTAAGAGCTGTCACGGTCATGGTATCTCTTCACAGCAATTGAACATTGACAAGACAGTGGGGAAGGAACCAACTTGTGATCGAATTGCACCCTTTATTAAGGAGCTAGGAAAAGGTGAGGACTGTCAAGGGTATCCTTAGAGTGCATTTCCCGCGAGGTGTCTTGGAAAACCAATCACAGGGCTCTACACATCATTCTGAGCTTTCGCTTGGTTTTGTGGGGAGCCTTCAGAGACTTCTAGTTCATGTGGAGTTGGGGTTTCGGATAGGGATTCTGAAGATGAGAAACCTAGGGGAAGTTGAGTGACAGCAAATCAGTAATTAGTGTCATCTTGAAGAGAGAAATCTTGCTCTGAGTTATCGAGTTAAAACTAAACTAAACAACAGCTGCCCAAACATGAAAGCCTGAATCACGGAGAGCTGAAATTCTGGAACGACAGCATTTGCTGTGTTCTGAGGGAGGCGTCAATGGGATGCAGGACCCATGGACTTAAGGCATATGAGGCATTTGATTAGTTTGCTTTCGGATAGACTATGTAGCCCAAGTTGCCCTGGAATGTATGATCCTTCTGCGTTGGCCTCCTAAATGCTGGAGTATACATGTATGCATCGTATTCACCTCACAGGTTTCTGGGAATTGTAGTAACCCCATTGCCCCGTGCAGTACTCCTTTGGAAAGGTCTTTAACCTTCGGCTATATTCTGGGGGCTCCATCAGCTTTAGATGTCTTGGATGCCATGCAGAAGGCATCCTATGTTGGCTAATCTTAATGGTTAACTTGACACAACCTACTATCACCTGGGAAGAGACTTTCAGTTGAGGAGTTATCTAGATTGGGTTGGTATGTGGGCATGTCTGTGGGGATTGCACTGATTATTAAATGTGGTGGAAATACCCACTATGAATGTGGGGGACACCATGTCATGAGCCAGGCCTTGGACCGGCTGAGATCAGCAAGCATATAAGGCTCCATACTTTTATTCTTTCTCTGGCTCTGAGTGTGGATGTGGTACTTTAAGCTCCTGCCTTGACTTCCCCACAATAGTGGACTGCATCCTGTAATTACAAGCAATGAAAACTCTTTTCTCAAGTTTCTTTGGGGGCAGGGTAGTTCACCACAGCAACAGAAATCGAGGCTAGAACATATCCAAGGGAGATGGTATTATTATTGTTTTCCTGAGCAAAAGTTTTGTTCTCTTTGTGTGTGTCCTTTAAAGGATTTAAAGAACATTATGCTGAGTAAGGGCACACAAAAATCCCCCTAAAATGTGAATATTTAAGAAACCATCTCTTAATCTACTGGAATTGAGGTTAAATATTCAAAGCTATGTTCAATAACTCTTGAGTGGAATGGGAACTATAAATAAAGATTGAGTAATCTATAGTCCTGGTTGCCTGAGAAAACTGATTATAAAACAACATATAACCTTTCTGGTTGTCTGTCAAACTTATCTTCCTTTATGTAATCTGCATTTTTTGTTTGTTTTGTCTTTTTGAGACAGGGTTTCTCTGTGTTGCTTTGGTGCCTGTCCTGGAACTATCTCTTGTAGACCAGGCAGGCCTTGAACTCACAGAGGTCTGCCTGCCTCTGCCTCCCAAGTGCTAAGATTAAAGGCCTGTGTCACCACCGCCCAGCTGTATTTTGCGATGTTTACATTTAGATATGCATCACTTGGCTGGTCTGTTGGAACACTCCATTAATTATCCTTGTCTAATGCCTTGTTTCCTTTTCTGGTTTCTCTTTCTCCTTCTAGAATGACCTGGAAATTGGAGGGTTCTCTCAAAATCACCCTGCCACTATGATTTATCTAACCCTTTTATTGTGTGGAGGATTTGAATTTATTTTTACCCCAGGGTATTACTTTTATTATCTCACATTAAGCTTAGTTTTTAAAGCCATTTTTAATTTTTTTTCCTTTTTTAAAGATAGGGTTTCCCTGTGTAACAGCCCTAGCTGTCCTGGAACTAGCTCTTATAGACCAGGCTGGCCTTGAACTCACAGAGATCCACCTGCCTCTGACTCCCAAGGACTGGGAGTAAAGGCATGTGCCACCAACACCAAGCTAGTTTTTTTTAATAGCAGAAAAGTGTGTTTTTAATTTGAGATTTTAAAAATATTCTCTTTATAGCTACAAATGTTCTAACACTTCTTTAAAAATATCTTATGCTCCTTTCTTCCTTCCTCCCCTCACTCTTTTTATTTATTAATTATTATCTTTTCATTCATTCCTCCCCTCCTCCCATTCCCCTCCCGCTCCCCCACTCACCCTCCTCCCTCCCCTTCCCTTCTTAAGAGAAGGCAGGGAACCCTGCCCTGGGGGAAGTTCAAGGCCCTCCCTCCTACATCTAGGCCTAGAAAGCTTTGCATCCAAATAGACTAGGGTCCCAAAAAGCCAGTACATGCAGTAGAAACAAGTCCCAGTGCCTTTCTCAATGGCTTCTCAGTCAGCCCCCATTGTCAGCCACATTCAGAGAGTCCGGTTTGATTGCAAGCTCATTCAGTCCCAGTCCAGCTGGATTTGGTGAGCTCCTATTAGAACAGGCACACTGTCTCAATGGGTGGACCAACCCCTTGCGGTCCAGACTTCCTTGCTCATCTTCTCCCTCCTTCTGTTCTTCAACTGGACCTTGAGATCTCAGTCCGTTGCTCTGATGAGGGTCTCTGTCTCTATCTCCATCCACTGCGGGACAAAGATTCTATGGCTGGTGGGAATGCAAACTTGTGCAACCACTTTGGAAATCAGTGTGGCAGTTTTTCAGGAAATTGGGAATCAGTCTACCTCAGGAAACAGCAATACCACTCTTGGGAATATACCCAAGAGATTCCCAATCATACTACAAAAGCATTTGTTCAACTATGTTCATAGCAACATTATTTGTAATAGCCAGAACCTGGAAACAACCTAGATGCCCCTCAATGGAAGAATGGATAAAGAAAGTGTGGAATATATACACGTTAGAGTACTACTCAGTTGTAAAAAATAATGACATCTTGAATTTTGCATACAAATGGATGGAAATAGAAAACATTATCCTGAGTGAGATAACACAGACCCAAAAAGATGAATATGGTATGTACTCACTCATTAGTGGACTCTAGCCATAAACAAAGGACATTAAGCCTATAGTTTGCAAGCCTAGAGAAGCCAAATAACAAGGTGAACCCAAAGAAAAACATATATAGATCCTCCTGGAAACTGGAAGCAAACAAGATTGCTGGGCAAAAGTTGGGAGCATGGGGCTGGGGCTGGAGTTAGGGTTGGGGGAAGGGGAGAGGGGGAGAGAGAAGGGAGAAAGGAAAGACTGGGGAGAGCTTGGGGGAGTGGGAGGGCGGAGATGGAGGAAAGGCGGATATAGGAGCAGGGAAGAAGATATCTACATTAAGGGAGCCATTTTAGGGTTGGCAAGAGACTTGGCTCTAGAGGGGATCCCAGGTGTCCACGGGGATGTCCCCAGCTAGGTCCTTGGGCAGCAGTATAGAGTGTGACTGAACTGTCCTTGCCCCACTATCACACTGATGATTGTCTTGAATATCACCTCCCCTTACTCTTCTCATTTTGTGATCCTTATAATGCACATTTTGGCACTCCCAATGGTATTTCCCAGGTGTCTGATGCTCTGTTCATTTTTTTTGCATTTGTTTTCATTCTTTGCCTCTGATGATAATTGAAACTGACCTACCTTCAAGTTGCTGTTTTTTTCTTCCTGTTCAAATCTTGTTGTATTAAAAATTTCCAATTTGCTGTTGCAATTTTCTGTTCTTGGATTCTGATCAGTTTTTGGTATCTTTATTTTATTTTAGGTTAGACATTGCTATGCTTTATATTTTTTGAAGATTGTTTTTATTCTTTTTTGAAAATTGAAAATAGAGTCTTCTTTCATACAATACATCCTGACCACAATTTCCCCTCCCTCCATTCCCCCCAGATCCACTCCACCCTATTTCTCTTCAGAATTGAGCACTTCTCCAAGAGATGACAACCTGTTAGAATGACCAAGATCAATAACCGGTCACATGACAGGTCATGCTGGTGAGAATGTGGAGCAAGGGGAACACTCCTCCATTGCTGGCGGGAGCAAAAACTTGTGTAACCACATGGAAATCAATACGGTGGTTCCTCAGAAAATTGGGAGTCAAATCTACCTCAAGACCCAGTTCATTTTGTTCTTTTGATCAACGTTTAAAAGAGCTGAATGAAAACTTTCATGTTTGAGTCTAGGGCTTAGGCTTCCCCGGGAAAAGGATTGGTTGACTTACTTTTCCCCATTTGTGAAGAGTATGCTTTCCCATTTATTTACATATCTCAGAATAGTTTGGTTGAAAGTTGCATAGGTAAAGTGGCAAAGTGAGCTAATGATTGGGTATAGATTTCCTTAACTGCCTCGAGCCAACAAAATTCTCAGTGTTTGTTGTTGAAGGCCTTTCTTTCTTCCTTCCTTCCTTCCTTCCTTCCTTCCTTCCTTCCTTCCTTCCTTTTTTCCTTCCTTCCTTCCTCCTTCCCTTCTTCTCTCCTTCCCTCCCTCCCTCCCTTCCTCCCTCCTTCCCTTTCTTTCTTTCTTTCTTTCTTTCTTTCTTTCTTTCTTTCTTTCTTTCTTTCT